TGGGTTCACCCAAAACCTCTGCTTATAATGACTCACACCCACCTTGGCTCATGTAATGAGGCCATGATCAAGAGTGGGCCAATGACCCTTTTAAGAGGCCACTCCCACTAGGGCTTAAATACCCGGGACTCTCCACTATATAGTCTTAGAGTTAAGGAAGGTTTCTCAGACAGAGCCTCTTTAAGAAACTTGAAGAAGTCCAGAAGTTTTTCTTTCCAAGCTTCTTGGATTTCTGCTGCTTAGTTAAAACAAACAAACAAACAAACAAACAAACAAACAAACAAACAAACCATAACCACCCTGAACTCACTGACGACATAGTTCCACCCCCCAGTCCAAGCACTTTCTTCCATACACAATCGACCGTCACCACTGTGTAACACTTAATTTAAGTGCAATGACCCACACTGTAAATATATAACACGACTTATGTTTTCATGATATGTGCATATTTTATATAGTTTGAATTGGGGCTGTTCGTATGTATATAGTGCTGCAGAACTGTGCATCTTTCTTCTCTCACGTGTCTCTGGACAGGAGTACTAAGGGAGCCGTGACAGCAACCAAGATGATCCTTACTCTGGACGACATCGTCTTCATCGATACTCAAGTCAGCAAGAAGGTCAGAGAATGTTTACTGGTGGTAACTACTGTTCAATCTGGTACCATTGCTGGTACTGGTGCATCTGTAGTTCTGTAGAAAACTGGGAGCAGCAGGAGTACTAACAGCGAGGCATGTTTGACTAATGAGCTAATCGATGAGCTGATCAATGGGCTGATCAATAAGTTGATCAGTGAGCTACCTTTGGTCAGATTGTTGTTGTTTCCATAGAAACTCAACGATGAGTCCATCATGAAGAGTCTTTTGGAAATGAAAACTCCATTGCGATCGCTCGCTCGAAGTTATATCCTCACAACACCGGAGAGCTCCAACATCGGGATACTGGAGGTATTACCTGCACCTGTGTGAGCCCGCCTGTCCTGTCACATTCCCTGATTGGCTGTGCTGTTTTCAGGGTGACTGGGTTTGGCTGAAGAAGTTCAGTACTGGAAAAACACCAACAGAAGCCAATCAAACCACCCAGAATATGTTCAGCCAGGTATGATGAGCAGAAAATCTACAATAGAAACACAACGGACACAGATTCTATTTGTTTCTGTGTTTTCTGTTCTGTTGTTTGGCGCTACCATCTGTACGTGAAACAGATTAACAGTATTGCAGTATTAAGAGTATTTTCTGCCTGGTGTTCAGTTGCGGGAGATGCGACACGAGAACCTAAACCTGTGCCTGGGTCTGTTTGTGGACTCGGGGATCTTCGCCCTGGTGGTGGAACACTGCCCCCGAGGAAGTCTGGCAGACCTGCTGGCTGACGGCAACGTGAGGCTGGACTGGATGTTTAAATCCTCACTGCTCATGGACCTCATCAAGGTACTGCCGAACCTGGTGTTCACTTATATCTGCTATGAGTAGTGGTGGTCGGGGGATGAACTTCTTTGTTTTAATTGATGTTGATAGAGTTTATTAGATAATCACTGTTTGTACAATGCTGCTACTTATACAACAACTGCTGCTGTGAGCATTACTCACACTAGTACTCTCTTATTATTAATAGTGCCATGATAAAACACTGCTGTCCTAATGAAGGATCTATGAACTAGTCTGATAAAGCTCAGGTTTCACGACTCGACTTCTAAGTCAATTAATTATGCAGCTCTATTCGACTTTATCTATGATATCTTTAAAGACTGTTTCATTTCTGATCAGACCGATCAGGTTACTGATATTTGTGTTTGTTTCAGGGCATGAAGTACCTTCATCTGCGAGGTTTGACTCATGGCCGTCTGAAGTCAACAAACTGTTTAGTTGATGGTCGCTTTGTTCTGAAAATAACAGATTATGGACTTCCTATGATCCTGACATCCCAGGGGATCAGCATTCCTGAGGATCCACACGGTAGAAACATGAGCACGCTCAGATGTTTGAAGTTTATCTCAGACGCTGTATCTCTGCTTACACGTGTGTTTATGTCAGAGGGCATATTAAGACTCCTAACCCTAACATTAACCCTAATCATGAGCACAACACAAACCTGTTCCAATAAAAACTGCAGCTGTGTTTCTCTTCCCGTCTCTCAGACATGCTGTGGACAGCTCCGGAGCTTTTGAGGAATCCGGTCTCAGGAGGTTCGTTTGCTGGAGATGTCTTCAGCTTCTCCATCATCATACAGGAAGTGATCTCCCGCACACTGCCATATGCCATGATGGACATGCCGGCTCATGGTGAGGGAGGATGTCTGATCAGCTGTGTCTCTTATCACCTGTCTGTCTCTTACCACATGTCTGTCTCCCAGAGATCGTGGAGCGTCTGAAGCAGCCTCCTCCTCTCTGCAGGCCGATCGTTTCGGTGGATGAAGCTCCTACCGAGTGTCTCACGCTGATGAATGAATGTTGGAATGAAGACCCGAGTAAGAGGCCGAGCTTTGATGACATTTTCAAACAGGTGAGCCGAGTCTCACTGCTGCCACCTGCTGCCTTCTACAGGCTCGGGGTTATTTTCTGATTTCATCTCGACTCCTTCGACAATCTGTTTGCAGTTTCGAGGTATCAGTAGAGGCAGGAGGGCCAACATCATCGACTCCATGCTGCGGATGTTGGAGCAGTACAGCTCGAACCTGGAGGATCTGATCCGAGAACGAACGGATGAATTGGAGATTGAGAGAACCAAGACAGATAAGCTGGTGGGGCAGCTCCTGCCAAAGTAAGACTAAAACAGCAAATTACTAGTAATAATTAGCAGTAATGTGAACTGGAGGTGGGGTCAGAGTCTCTGATGAGTGGGTGGATAAGAGTCCTTGAGAATAGAACTGGGTCGTTGGGCCTCGTTAATGAAGTTCACTGCAGACAGGAATGAAAGGTCCTCATGATGCAGACTTTGGTCCTGATGGGACGCCGACTCCCGAGAGAGGAGTGGCCATGGTGGGAGGGTTTAGCCTGGCTCGGGGTTGTGGAGTTGCACAGGTGCTAATGAGAGGGCATGCTGCAGCCAATCACTCCTCAGGTTATGAATGATGAGCTGTATTGTGCATTTGGAGGAATGCCCCAACATTATCTTTGGTGAGTTTAACTTGTTCCTGTATCACAGGAAGTTCGTCCTCTGTTGTGCTCTTTTGATTTGAGCCTATTTAGCTCTCTGAGGACCTGTGAGATGATAGCTGCTGGCAGGCTGAAAGGTAGCCCTGTCATAATGGAATCAGACAGGATCATTGATATGGTTGGTGCCAAGGTTTTCAACTAACTCCACTGGGGGCAGATTCTGACACCAGGTCACCAGATAGTGACTCTTTCAACTGTAGTTGGATTCATCCCCATTCAGCCAAAACATAGCAGGTTGAGCATGGTAATCAGGTTCCTGTCTCCTGGACTGTCAGCACTGGTTATCTTCCAGGCTGTTTCGCTGGCAGGCAGCAAGTCTATGATCCCCCTGCAAGAGGAGTACATTTAGGCAGGAGGATTTGTTCTTTGGCAGACCAGGATGATGATGGCATTAAAAGTGGAGCTAAACTGGAATCCATTATTGGTTCCTGCGGAGTCCTGGGTTTGTAGGATGCAGTGGAGAGCCATGTTAAACTTCTGGCCTCTAGTTTGGCTGTTTGCTGCATGGTTACACTAAGCAATGAAAACTTTGCGAGTTCCCATTTGTTCCAGGTCTGTGGCTCAAGCTCTGAAGAAAGGGAAACCAGTGGAACCTGAACATTATTCGGACTGCACCCTTTACTTCAGCGACATTGTTGGATTTACAACTATTTCTGCTCTGAGCGAGCCCATCGAGGTACAAACTGTTTGAACTTGCTTTTGTGCATTTCATTTTTCAGTGTTTCACTAAACCCGTGTGTGTGTAGGTGGTCGACCTGCTGAATGACCTCTACACCATGTTTGATGCCATCATTGCTCTCCATGATGTGTACAAGGTAACACACTTCCATTTAAAACACGTGTCTGACCTAAACAGTAAAGATTTCTCTTCATTTCTGGATTATCTGAACAAAGACACATGAAATTTGGTTCTGGTTTTGTTATAGGTGGAAACTATTGGAGATGCCTACATGGTGGCTTCAGGTGTTCCCAACAGGAATGGGAATCGACACGCAGCTGAAGTGGCCAACATGTCTCTGGACATCCTGCACTCGATAGGAAACTTTAAGATCAAACACATGCCCGAGATTAAAGTCAAAATCCGCATCGGACTGCACTCAGGTACACCTGTCCACCGTTATCTGCTCATTCAGTACCAGGACGTCAGGAGAGGGTTCATTTATCAGTGTAACTACTATACTATCAGCTTTCCTCATCTGAAGAATCCAGAGTATGTTCAATGTGTCTCAGGTGTAAGTCACTCTTAGTGTGGACACGTGTGGATGAGATTAGTGAAGCTCGACTTCTGTGGGCAACTGCTGAAAGATTTAGAAATGTCGGGAGTAGTGAGTAGAAGTGTCTGTTGACAGAACTGTTTTGGGAGACCTCAGGGCTGGCTCAAGTCCTGCTTCATCAGCAGTTGGTGCTCAGACCACAAGGATGGGAATGATATTTGAACCAGTCAGACTGGATTACAGTACCAGTTTTGGACAAAACAGTTTAATGGTTTTTCTTGCTGAAGGCATCAACTAACCATTTCAGGTGACTACATCATGAAGCTCATGGAGCAGGATAAGGGTTTGCAGCGCTGTCAACAAAGCAAAGGGCAGCTACTTACAGGAATCTAAACTATAAAACATATTCAGTGTTGTTTTGCTGTACCCTCAGTCATCCAGGTGAGTAAATCCAAAAGAGTCGATTCAGTTCATCTGAACGTTCTCAGTGAGAGAAACGTTTCGTCACTCATCCAGTGCTTCAGTCTCAGCTGACTGCAGGTTTCCGACCTTACAAACATACATCTGCATAATGACTGAAACCAGCCCACTGAAGGAACACTGGGCTGGGAGGTCAGTTCCTTCATCATTAATATTCACGTTGTCATGTGGGCTGCTCCTGCCGGGAGCGGTGGAAGGAGCTGCTCCAACTGGAGATGGCAGATGAGGGGCGCAAGGGTCCACACCGACTGGAGAAAGAGGAGCTGCTCCAGGAAGGGCTGTTCCAGCCGGGAGTGGTGGAGGAGCCTCATAAGCCAGAGGTGGACGAGGGGCGAGAGGGGCTGTGCCTGCTGGAGGAAGAGGCGCCGCACGGGAAGCCGCGCCAGCCGGGTGGCTCCCCAGCCTCAGTCGGGCGATGGGGGTATTTGGCGGGGCGTGGCCTGCGGTGCTGTGCAGGGAAGGTGGACACACCTGCACGGCATCGGCAATCTTGCCCCGCCAACTTAAAAATGGGACTGGTTCCTGACTGGGGTCTGTTGGTGATGTGCATTGAGGAATAAACATGTACAGAACACAACTGGGTCATTGTTCATTCATGCTGGTGTCAGTTACTGTGCAGATGGACTGTTTATAAGGTTGGAGAAAGCTGAGACTGAAGAAGTGACAAAGCATTTCTCCCACTGAAAACTACATCCTACATCCAGCTGAACATAATCAACTTTCCTGGCATATTTAAAGTTGTTAATGAGTTTTTTCTTTGCTACATAATTCCACATGTCGTGCTTCATATATATGAAGTCTTGAGTTTGTATCAAAAGTAGTAAAAATAAAGAAAAACCATTAAATGAGAAGGCGTGTCCAAACCTTTGACTGGTAGTGTATTTTTGTTCCCAGCTAGCTACATCTCTGATTAAAGTATGGTAATAATGGTTCCTGAGGTTGTCAGCGGTGTTAGTGCCAGGTAAAGGTCTGGCCCTTCCTGTCTTCAGGTCCCGTGGTAGCAGGTGTGGTTGGACTCAAGATGCCCAGGTACTGTCTCTTTGGAGACACGGTGACCACGGCCTCACTCATGGAGTCCTCTGGGCTACGTAAGTAAAATCTTTGATCAATGGTTGGATCACTGAGAGACCACCCTGAAGTCTCTCCTGTCTGCATTTAAATTATGTCAGAATCACTAGTTTCCTTCATTAGTTGCGGTGTGACGATGTGTTTGTGGTCTGCAGCTTACAGGATCCACATCAGTCTGAGTACGGTCAAAGTCCTGACCAGTCTGAAAGTGGGATACCACATAGACACCCGGAAGGCGCAGGTATGCCAATCTAAACAGACCTGAAGCAAATCCAAATGTGATTGCATGACGCAGTAGCTGTGGATGCTGTTAGAAAACACGCATAATGGTGATAAAGGCAGCATGCTGGCTCGGGTATTAGCACTGTTGCTTCACATAAAGAAGGTCTTGAGTTCGATCCCACCCCCTGCCAGGGCCTTTCTGTGTCCTGGGTACTGTGGCTTCCCACAGTCCAAAGACATGCAATTAGTGAGGTTATGTTAATTGGAGAATCTAAACTGGTCATAGGTGTGACCACGAAGCTTAGCCTTGAATCAGGCTGGCGACCTGTCCGGGGTGTACCCTGCCCCACCCCTGCGACCCTGATGAGGATGAAAGAGAATGGATGGTTTATAAAACCTTATCTCAGAGGTCAGGTTATTACCCTCAGGTTTACTGTAGTCCAGTCTGACAGGTTCAGAGTCTGGTCCAGATCCCACCCTGTCCACAGTTAGTCAGCCTGATGCCAGTCCGTGGTGGGACTCGTTGATGTTTGGATGCTTGTGTTGCAGGTTAAGGGCACAGAGGACACGTACTGGCTGATGGGTCGAGAAGATTTTAATAAACCTCTTCCTGTTCCTCCAGACCTCGCCGGAGGGTAAGAACACACAGCGGTCATTATCGATTACCAATAAAGTAATCATTAAACTGAAACTCGCTCTCCACCTGTCTCTCTGTCAGGGCCAGCAACCATGGAATCAGCCTGGATGAGATTCCAGTCGACAGACGACAAAAGTTTCTGGACCGACAGAACAAGATGAAGAAGTGACAACACACACAGTGTCATCAGCTGATGAGACCCTCTCAAAGACATCTGAACCCTGGAGATCTTCAGCCTCCCGAAGGCTGTAAAGTCTGAGTGCACAAACCAATCATCACCATGGGTGCTAATTTCTACTTCCTGATTTAACTGGAAGTCCTCTTTGATTGGTCGCTGACATCGCTTCTGTCTGACTAGTGGAATTTGTCCCTCACACTGTCTGATGTTTGCACAGTTGTATAGAAACTAACTGTTACCATGGTGACTGTGATGTGTTAGTGACCTTGAAATAGAATCAGGGTTGTTCATGTCCAATGAATGCTGGGTAAATGACTGTTAAAGAGTGGATGCGTGACAGATGTTGTGATGATCAGTAATCGGTTCTGCGCACTGACGCTGGCTGCATGCTGTCGCTGTTCCTCATGCTTCTTTAAAATGTAAATGTTCCATTAAACTCTGAGGTAGACTCAGTGCTTAGATATGGATTTTCCCGGATGCTCCTGAAGGCACCGTCTTCCTCAATAAGTCAATCAAACGTGCAGTTCAGGTCTATTTTCTTCACTACCAGCTGAGTTTCACATAATAATCTGTAAAAATAACACACAAACACCCATTGTTGTGTAAGTAATAATATATTTTTAAAAGCAAATGAAAAAAATCCTAAAAAGAGTGAAAAAACAAACAAAAGTGGAAACAATTTAGTTTAAATATTGTCTGAATTAGACAGAGGGCGGCTGCTGAGATGCTGTCTGCGGACAGGTGAGGGCTGAAACGAGCCACTGACTCCTTTTAAACCTCCCCCTCAGTCTGCATGTTTCTTTATTCCCTTTCCAATTTTCATTCGTTCTCATGTTTTGTGCATTTTGAATTAATTTCCTTGTGCTTCCTCTTCTTAAATCCTATTTTTAAGCTTTTCACCTTCTAAATTCAAAAATGGATATTCTCTATATTATTCCAGTTTTACGTTAATTTAATTAAAGTTGGTTTAAAAGTATTAAATTTTTTTTTGATATAACCCCTAACCCTCTCTTCTCCTCAGTGTGATTGCTAAACATAAGCAGCTGTACTCCAGTTCACCTGGGTTTCGATAATCGATTTTAGCTTGAATAAAGTGATATCGATTCATTAAATCCTGAATCAGTTTTTAACTATAAATGTATTTTGCCAGAAATGCCAGAATCTCAGGTAAAAGCTCACAAAACTACACTGCTCAAAAAAATAAAGGGAACACAAAAATAAGAGATCCCAGATGTGAACGAATGAAATATTCTTATTGAATATGTAGTTAGATCAAGCATGGAGGTCTGGATTTGGAGTCACACTCAAAATGAAAGTGGAAAAACACTTTGATGTAATGTCCTTAAAACAAGTCCAAATGAGGCTCAGCAGTGCCTGTATGACCTCCCTACAACACCTGGGCATGTTCCTGATGAGGTGGCAGATGTTCTCCTGAGGGATCTCCCAGACCTGGACTAAAGCATCTGCCAACTCCTGGACAGTCTGTGGTGCAACACACCTACATGATGTCCCAGATGTGCTCAACTGGATGCAGGTCTGGGGAACGAGTGGGCCAGTCCATAACATCAATACCATCGTCTTGCAGGAACTGCTGACACGCTCCAGCCACATGAGGTCTAACATTAGCTGTGTCCCAAGTCAGGGGCCTCATCCTTCAGAGGCATTTGAAGGCCGATCACGTCACAGCCAGGCGATGAAGGCTGCTCCAAATGCGGCCTTCATTTCCCCTGATTCGAAGCATGGGTCAGGTGTGTGCTTTGTGGCCCAACCTATCCCAGAATTCATAGCGCTGCCTAGCCAGTTCAGTTTCTAACGAGGGCATCAGCTACAGAGACGGTAGAAATTGTTAATGTTAAGATATTAAAGTTAATGGAAGTTTCATTTTAAATGTTAAGGTGATTTATTTTACATTCATTAAACTTACGTGACTGTAACTGCACAGTGCCGCTAGTTTTAACACAAGGGTTGGTTTTAATATTACTCTCATTATTCTTTCTGGGTCACAAAATAAACGTTTAACGTTCAGGTGAGTGTAGCTGTGTAAACTTCAAATACCTGCTCAGTTTATCAGGACACCACATATTTTCAAAAGCGCTCCGACGTTTTCTGAGACGTCTGTTACCCACCAGCTCAATAGCAAGCCGGGGGCTAGGTCACTAGAGCCGTGAGAACAGCGAACTCACGGCACATCGTTCTTTTAACCCCCCGCCGTCTTTGACTACTCAGGTTAAACATGATACATGAGTCACTTAGATAACTTAAAAATGTTGTTGTTTGGCTTTTTCACTGTTTTATTTGTTCCTGAGTAAATCGGTTTGTTATAGTAACTTATAGTTTTCACACAGCTGAATAAACGTCAAACAGCTGATCATCAGAAGTGTGAGATGATTGAGAATCTACGCCTGTGTCCTGTTATATTTTAGATAGCAAGGAGCAGACGGCGAGTTTATTAAACTCCAGCGAGACAACGGACACCTTTTCACCACTGTGGGCTGCAGGTGCAGCAATAGTATGCAGCTCTTACTCTGTTACGTGTAAGGCAGAGTGATGTTTTTGGTCTTGTGGTCCTAATTTAGTACAGTTTGCTGTGGATGCTGTTCAGGGACTAACATGAGTGGGATGTTCTCTTATATTCTGTCTGTTAGGGCAATTCTTATGAAGATGGGCCTGGTGGGAAAAATCACCCCTTTGCAGGCCAACAAAACAAAACAAAGTATGTACAGTAGTGTTAAAATATGTATTGTTAAGTCTAATCTATTGAACTTATTCGTGTAAACCTGTACTGTTGCTGTTTTTGTCCATTGCCACTTGTGATTTCCTCTGCTGTTAGGATTGCAAGTATCCAGGGTCGGGCGAGGCAGTGAGTGGGAAGCCCACGGCTGCTAAATGGTGCTGGTCTGTATTATGGATGAGGTGTTGGGACAGAGCCTTCTACCAGGCTCCAGTCCTAATTGTCTCCATCCAGGAGGACACTGCAGGCCCAGTTCAGCAGTGGGCCAGCTGCAGCCAAGAGTGGACAAAAGAAAGACAGGAAGGATGAATTCTTGGACTTAATGAGAGAGGGCATGAGACTGCAAATGGAAACGGAGGAAAGAAGAGCAGGAGAATGGACAGGCTTCTTCACAGTCATGTCTCCCGGGGCCAGCTGGCTGATACTTTGCCACTTTCCTCTCTGACACTGTTGGTAATCTAGGTGTTCTGTGATGTAGCTCTTTCAAACATGATAGACAACTATCCTCTGCACTCAAATCTAGCTTTTACCAGCTGCTTCTTATTTCTAAGGCTAAGCATTATGTAACACACAAGGATCTTTTAGCTGATTCATGCCTTTGTGACCTTCTGATTGGATTACTGTAATTCCCTCTACTTCTGTCTCCAGTCTGCTCCATAGATTGCAGCTTGTCCAAAATGCTGCGGCACGCCTTCTGACTGCAACCGGCCGGTTTGCCTCTTTCACTCCTGTCCTTGCTGATTTGCACTGCCTCCCTATCAAATACCAAATTTAATGAAAGTATTGCTGCTCACCTTTAAAATCATAAACCATACAGTGTCTAGCTATCTCGTTGAGCTCCTTAGACCATACACCCCTGGGAGAGCCCTCACATCATCAGCCCAATTACTCTTGGTACAGCCTAGATCTCGGCCTAAGACTAGAGGTGAGCGTGCATTTGCCCTGGTTGCGCCTAATTTGTGGAACAACCTGCCCATTCCTATCCCTATTCTATGTCACCGTCTGGTATGGTAACTGCACCTTATTGGATTGCAATACCCCACAATGGATAGTGAGAGGAGCTGTGAAGATCACTGGAGCCTCTCTTCCCTCCATCACGGACACTTGTAGCAACTGCTCCACCCGCAAAGCCCCCAGCATCATGGAGGACCCCACACACCCCTCACACACACTCTTCATCCTGCTGCCTTCTGGAAAGAGGTACTGGAGCATCCGGGCCCTCACGACCAGACTACCGTTCAGTTTCTGAGGGCGATCGTGGCTCAAGAGTTGGGAGTTCGCTTTGTAATCGGAAGGTTGCCGGTTCGAGCCCCGGCTGTATCACTAATTACAGGAATGTAAAGAGCATTTATGGGCTTGCTTCCTCCAGAAGACTCAGGTTGTTCCTGATAACTGAATGAAATCTCAGCTGTGATGGAGCTTTGTGTGTGTTTGCTGAGTGTGTGTCAGAGCTGCTGCTCACAATAAACTGAAAGTGTTTGAGGAACAAAGAGAAACAAAGAAAATCCGCTGATGATCCAGTAAAGACACTCTGAGCAAAGTGACTGAATGAAGCAGATTTTATTGAGGATTGACAAAAAAGTGCATCGAGCAGGAGACGATTCATGTGGACGACCCGAACATAGAGAATCTGAACAGATCAAGTCCAACATGAAAGGATCCAAATGTTTCCGCTTGGCCTGAGCCATCACAAATATCCAGCATGAACACATGAAGAATCAATCGAGGCATCGATCAGCTGGAAGAA